TTTTATTTTATTCTTTTTTATTCCTATCTATTTTATTCTATTCTATTTTAATTTATTTGTTTCTATTTTATTCTACTATATTTTATTCTATTCTATGTTATTCTGTTCTACTCTATTCTATTCTACTTTATTTTATTCTTATCTATACTATTCCATTTTATCCTATTCTTTTTTATTCTTATCTATTTTAATCTATTCCATTTTATTCTATTCAATTTTATTCTATCCTCATTTAAGGATCAATCATACCTCTATAGTGATTTACATCATTGATTTAAAACACACAAACAATGCCACCTGGTAAAATTTTAGTTAGATGGCTCCTTTAGTTTTCTGCCTGGAACTGTTCTGGTGCTGAAGTTGTGAGGAACAGATTGGACGGTACATCATGTTAACTGAGCTAGAAGACTTCAAGTCCCTGCTGGTAGACGCATCCCTCAGGCTGACTAAGAAGCAGGATTAGGGCTTTATTGAGGCAACATTAGCTCAGGGATTTTACTAACATGAAGCTGGTGGAGATCTTGGGTTGGTCGCCATGGCAATAAAAAAAAAAAAAAAAAAAGGTTTCCATACTTCAAGTTAATGAGGCATTTTTTAACAGGGTGATCATAATACACCAAAAATAAAGACTTTCTATTCTACAGTTTGTTTCTCCCAGAAACTAAAAGTTAGGAAAGAAAGTTTTCTGTGTTTATGATTCATTCACTCACATTCAGATTGGGTTAATTCCCAGACCAACCGCATAAATTTTTCTTAGTGTATTATAATTGTGAGCAACTTAAGCTTAAACTTTAGAAAACACCTGGATGTGTGGCATATACGTTTCTGGGAAGTACACCTGCCTCTTTTTCTTCCTGATGCTTAAAATAAAACAAGATTTACAGATGGCAAGATGGGAAGTTCTATGCCAAGTTGTTGTATGTTGTTATTTAATCAAAGAACTAAATGAATGAATATGAAACAACAGTGTAAAAGTAGCTGCTGCTTCAAACTGAGCTGAGTGCTTTTATGGCCCGAAAGGCTGCAGCTGACAGCTGATCCATAATGTTTGTCCATTTGGCCTCAAATTAAATGTAAAACGCATATCCTCAACAAGAGATACAATATTAATATTCATCCAAACAGCGGTATATTGAACTTTATATAACTCAGGTTGAAAACAGGAAGCTGCCGGTGGTTCTTGTGCAAACAGGGGAATGCTATGAGTTCAGCAAAGAGTCTTTATCAGCTTTGTTTCCACCATGCTGTATTTCTAATTGGTTCTTTGCTGAGGATGTTCAAATTGAGCCTTTCCTCTTGCTAAATATTCTGAACACACAAATGTATGTCCCACTGAAGAAAACTGACTCCACCTTTCTTCGGTATCTGCTTTTATGCTTGGAAGACTTGAAAGCCTGGATGTCCCTAAATGTCTTAAAACTAAATGAAGAAAAACAGAGGAGGTGATTTTTGGTAGTTCTAATGAAGACTCCCTGTCTGATATTGGATCTTTCAGCCAGTTTGTCACGATTTAGGAGTTAAAACAGATGCTAGTCTGAAGTTTGAAAATCCAGCTTCTTCCACTTAAGGAAGTCAAACCTATCTTTTTCAAACAGTGGTCCATGCCTTTGTAACCACTCCGTTGGATTACTCTAATGCACTTTATAAGGGTATCAGTGATTCGTGCATTTCCCAGCTTCAGAGGGTGCAGAATGCTGCTACACTTCTTTTATCAGGTACAAGGTCATATTTCCTCTAATTTAGCCTCATTATGTTGGCTACCACTACATTTTAGGATTGATTTTGAAATCCTTTTATTTGCTTTTAAAGCCCTTAATGGTCTTGCCACTCCCTACCTGTCTGAGCTGCTTCATCCCTACACACCCTCTCGATTCCTTAGACCAGCTGACCACTTGTTACTGAGGGTGAAAAAGACAAAACACAAGCTCAGAGGAGACCATCTTTTTCTGTTGCAGCCCCTAAGCTGTGTAATGACCTTCCCTTGGCCATCAGGCAGGCCTCTTCACCTTCTGATTTTAAATCTCTTCCTAAGACCCAATTCTTTTCCTTGGCTTTTATCTAGTGTTGCGCCGATGCCATTTATTTTAGCAATACACGATACCTGGCTGTGCAGTATTGGCCCATACCCACACCATCTGTTTAAAAGTGATGTGTGTATATATGAAGAACTGCATACTACTGGGATGTAAAATAATTGCCATCATGGCTTTGTCAAGCTGCTGCCTACTTTTGTGAAGCAGGAAAAAGACTAATACAAAGTGAATCCAGTAGAACTTTTTATTGCCTACCTGGAATCGGTGACAATAGTTGAATAAACCTTTGACTCTTAAAATGGTATCGGTGCCCTATTTGTTGGTACTCGCCGATATCACCATTTTAGTTCTGGATCGGGGCCACGCCCGATACTGGTATCGGTATCGATGTAAAACTACTTTTAACACAATCGTAGATGTTGGCTTTGTCTTAAAGCAGATTTATACACCGGAACTAGATCGTCTGCGTAGGTGTCACAGTGTCAGACAAACTTTTACCCACTTTCTCACTGCCTCTGCCGTATCTAGACCCACTGCTAGTTCGTGATTTTCCCCTTTACATAATGCAGACCACGCTTCAATATTGAGTATAAATCAAAAATGTCTGCATCATACCTGCGACAAGCTCAGTGCGACATAATGCTGCGGTAGTATAACCAGCCCTTTAGACTGGTGAAGATTCTTGGTCATCCAGGTCATAGTCATTCCAAAAAAGTAAAAAAACAAACCATTGGATTTAGTTTCCAAGTTTGAAGACCTTGCGCTTCCCATCTAGAAAGCTTTCTCAATTCAAAATGTCTGGGGTAGCATTGAGTTCCAGGTTTTATAAAATGGCCAAAACGAAGGCCTTATTATGGCTTAGAAAACATGCAAATCGAACCAAAAAAAAATAAATGGGGAGTCATAAGGTCATGTTGTCCTGGCCCATGCCTCTGAAAAGGGAGTCCGCCAGGCGAGATGTTTTGGTCCCCTGCATAGCGAAATGGATTATGATAGTGAGATGGAATCAACTCTATAGCTGCATTGTAGGTTTTTTGAGAGCCCACCCCCTCTGTTTAAGGTTGGATATTCTCTTTTAACATAAATGGCTTCCTTTACACCCCCTTCAAACCACCTGTCTTCTTTGTCCAAAATGTGAACATTCAGGTCTTCAAACGAATTTTTTTGTCCTTAAGGTGTAGATGTACAGTCGTGTCTTGTCCCAAAGAGGTAGCCCGTCTGTGTTGAGCCATGCGTCTGTGATAAGGTTGTTAGGTTCCTCCAATATAAAGATCAGAGCATTCCTCACTGCATTGAATTGCACACTTCGCTCATCTTAAATCTGGGGCTTTGTCCATAGGATGCACTAGCCTCTGTCTAAGAGTCTTGTTTGGTTCGAAATGTACTGGAATTTTGTCTTTGGAGAAAATCCTCTTGAGTTTTTCAGAGACTCTAGCAACATATGGGATGGCAAAGCTTTCTGGATGGGAAGTGAAAACATTAAATTTGAATAACAAAGTCCAGTGGAATGTTGTTGTTTTTTTTACTTTTTTAGAATTACTTTGTCTTTTTGTTTTTCTTTTGTTCTTTTATTATTGCCTTTTATTTTATTACTACTTTAATACACCACATTATTTATTGTTTTATGATTGAATATTTGTATTTAATGGCTGTGTATAGCAGTTTGGTCCTGTTGGTTGCTGAAAGTGCTTTATAAATAAATTTGGTATGTGATGGTATGAATGCTTGGCATAAAGTTTTTTCTCTTCGCGCTCAGAAATAGTGCTTGGTTATCGCATTATTAGTCACACATACAGACAGTAATAAAATCGAGACCCCCCCTACTTTTTTGCACCTGTACTTATCCGCCGTTTCAAATGCAAAGACTCCATCTTCATTTGAATTCTCTGCAGGCGGATGAGTGACAGCCACGGCGCTCTGAAGCTCTGACTGAAACTCACGGTTCAGCTTTGCTCGCAGCCTTCACTGCATTAAAAAGGCTTTCAGAGATGAAGTCAGCTCACCTCACAGATGGAAAGGAAAATTAGTTTTGGTGGCACTTTCACCTCATTAGAGATATTGTTCAGCACTGCCTCTCAGTATCTCAGTGTTTATCCAGTCGTTTTAATTGCTCTGTGGACGCCGAGTTAAACTTTGCTTTACCGGCGCTACAACTTCTGCTTCTTCTTTGCAGCCTCATCGCTGTGACCAATGCCCACAGACTTTCAACGTGGAGTTCAACCTCACGCTGCACAAGTCCACACACAACACGTCTGACTTCACCTGCCCTGTTTGCAATAAGAGGTTCTCTCGCATCGCTGGCCTCAAATCCCACGTCATGCTTCACAAAAAGGAGGAGGTGAGCTGCTTTTCTAGTAGACACAGAACGGCAGGATTTCACCCGAATACTTGATGAGCTCTATTTCTGAGTTTACAATGTCCATCTGCTCCGACAGAACCTTATCTGCTCCGAGTGCGGCGATGAGTTCGTGCTCCAGAGCCAGCTGGTTCTGCACATGGAGGAGCACCGGAAAGAGCTGTCGGGCGTCAAGGTGTACACCTGCAAAACGTGCCACAGGGAATTCAAGACATTGGTGGAGTTAAGGGAGCACACGAAGAGTCACGTAAAGATGAGGTAAGACATGGACGTCCTGGTTTGTTGTACAGTTTTAGCCAAAAACGAATGCGGTCGATGGATACTGTTTATTTTACAGTTTCTTCTAAAAACGACAAAAATATTTAGAATCAAGCAATGTCAATATTGCACCTTGTCCTTAAAGGAGAAGTTCGGTTTTTTACACTTTAAGCCCATTTTCTGTAGTGTCCAGGATGAAATCGAATGAAGGACACCAAAATTTTGACAATTGCTCCTGTCTCTGCTTTTTGGCTCATTTAGAATCAACCCCTGGCTGCTTTAGAATGGCTAGCATAGAGCATGTCCGATAATGTCCTTAAAACAACCTTAAACGTTCTTTTTTTAAAATATGCTACTCACCGTGTCGTCAGCGCTGTTCAATGACGTTCCAAAAAAAGTTTCGTGAAGAAAAAACGTTCCTGTAGTGTTTTATTTAGCATTTTGTAAATCCCATTGAGTTCTGTAGGAATAGTCAATATTCCGCTGCCACCGGAAACGGAAATGGGGCCTGTTTACACAGTTGTAGTCTTTTCGCTTCACTCTGTGTACTCTGTGTCCTTCATTCGATTTCATCCTGGACACTACAGAAAATGGGCTAAAAGTGTAAAAAACCGAACTTCTCCTTTAAACCATCTTGTAGCACTTTTCAGTCGACTTGTTTTATTTATACCTGCTATGTGAGTTTATTTAAGAATTTTAAATGTTATAGTTCGCTGGAAACTGGAGGCTATTTGAGTTTGCAGCTGAAGAGAAAAACCCTTAATATTCCCTTAGCTTCTGTCAAATTACAGCCCAACGCCCAGAAGGAGAATTTTGAGGTTCAGAGTTCATTTCAATTTGACTTGAATGAATAAAAGTAGGAGTTGCAATAATTGATCTCTAAGAACAGTTGCCAGTTTTTCTCCACAAGTTTATTTTTCACACCTAAACACTAAAATGTTTCTGATTCAGTAAAATGACTGAAGCTCAGTCAGATTAGATGGAGAGCTCCTAATCTGGATCTTGAATGCTAGGGCTACGACGCATACTGTTCTTTATCGCAGTGGATTACGTTTATTGCAATAGTTTCTGCTTTAGAACTTTAAGCCCCTGTCACACCTTGACGATTTAGACCAGCGTGTGTCTGACGTACAAAAAGTCTGGCAAAAATGTTGGCATACGTTGGATAAGTTATGGGGTACGTTTTGTATAAGTTATGAGCACGCTCAGTTACGTTGAAATACGCTGAAACATGCTGGCACACGTCAGCATACGGCAAGTACGTTGAGACGTATGCCAGCGTATGCCATATGTGGGCCATAAGTTATAGGAAAGTTATTTGATGGTTGACATATGTTAATTGAAAGTTACTCATAAGTAATGGCGTCTAGCTTTTCCAAAACCTATGAGCAACTTGGGCATAACTTGTGCGTAACTTATCAAGAACTTATCTCCAACACATATCAACGAAATCGATGAGTTCCAGAAGACCACTGAATGTGTTTCTAACTTCCAGCTACTGTACATTGGCGTATTGGCAGCATTTTGGTATAAAAGGGGTTTACAGGAGGAGTTCAGTTCTCCTCTAGACTTCATCCCCATCATAGGGCGAATGTGATGGATCCTCCCTACGTTCACTCCCAAGGCCACGACCAACAAACTTCTGACAGGATGCTGAATCTGATGCAACTGCAAATCCCTCTTTCTTTTTCTTTTTTTTATAAATTTTTTATAGTTAGGCGGGTGGTCAACAGCAGCTAGGTTAATACCGCGATCAAAGACATCCATTTATGCCAGCAGGTCGCCATCAGGCCCATCACTGCCCCTCTCAGGTCACTGGCTTGTGACATTTCATGGGCATTAAGCTGCCGTGCATTATCCATACAGTAAGTTAGGCTGTCATTGGACATAAGTTATGGACTCGTTATGAATACGCTATGTATACGCTCAAAATTGAAGAAATACATAGAAAGTTCAGCATATGCTAGCGTTTTAGGAGATTCTGGCACGTCAGGCATACCCTGGCTAAATCGTCAGGGTGTGACAGGGGCTTTACCTGTTAGACCTCAGGGCTGTTTTAAGAAGTCTGTCTGTGGTAAAGGTGCTAAAGGTCACAGAGATGGTGGGGGGAAAAAATCCACTTTTGTCTTCTAAAATAAGTTCTGGGTTCGATTCCCGGCCCAGAGTCTTTCTGCATTGAGTTTGCATGTTCTCTCTGTGCATGCGTGGGTTCTTTCCGGGTACACCAGCTTCCTCCCACAGTCCAAAAACATGACTGTTTGGTTAATTGGCTTCTCTAAATTCTCCTTAGGTTTGCATTTGAATGGCTGTTTGTCCTTTTTGTCTCTTTGTTGCCCTGCAATGGACTGGCGACCTGTCCAGGGTGTACGCCACCTCTCGCCCGTTGACAGCTGGAGATGGGCACCAGCACCCCTCACAACCCCAGCAGGGATAAACGTGATGGAAAATGGATGCATGGATTTTATTCCAAAACCCTCCACTGCAGCCCAGGCTGTATGGATAGAGTCCCTCTGTTAGAAAAGCATCTCCATACCGTGATCCTCTCGCCATCATTCTTTGATGTTAGTTGTCTGGCATGGATAATCTGGCATGGATCACCTGACCAGAGCTCCTTTTTCTAGATGTTAATGGTTTCCTCAACATGGATTATTAAAAAACCTAGAACGGTACTGTTACACTATGAGTTCTCTCTATGGCTTTCTCTCTGCCACTGGTTAAAATGAAACAAATCTCCACCATATTTCCTTCTAATCATATATGGCATCTGTAGCTCTGCTTGTTAGCAAACAACACATTAAAACAGAGAACTGGATGGTGGTGAACTCTTGACTTTACTGAGCATTCATGCAGCAAGGGAAATAAAATAGGTGTTAAATCTTAAAGCTGAGCTCCGCTGGCTGTTAGTTCAGCCTTCTTATTGGCTGTTGGAATGTAAACAGAAGACGTTCCCCCAGGTATGCCTTTATGGAAAGTCCTGTGAACTGTTATTTAAGTCCTTACAACAGGTGGATCTATTAGCTCCTGATAAAGTGTTTTTTAATTTATGCTGCAGGGGACCTTTGGGAAATTTCAATGTTATTAATCCAGTTTTCTGATGTTTTTATTTGAATGTAAAGGTTGAAATAATCAAACACCAGGAAAAGGCGCTGCTCTCTGTGCTTCACTTTCTATTAATCAGTGGGATTTGTTCTAAATGTACTTCAAACACTAATGACCGAATCCAAATGAGCGTCTTCTAATTTTAGAGAGGTGAGGAACTCCAAATGCATTTTTCATTAAACCACTAAGCAGTCGTGTTTCCTTCAAAGGGCGCTGACCTCCAGCTCCAGAAACTACAAGAGAAACATAGATCGCAGTGGGTTCACAAACAGCTGCCATCACTGTGAAAAGGCCTTCAAAAAGCCCAGCCAGCTCATCAGACACATACGAATACACACAGGTGAGTGAGAAGCACCAGACTCAGCTACCCGACCTCTCACACACTGTAAAAACCATCTAGGAAAAAGAAAACATCTCTTAAATTAAGTGTATTTATCCTTAATTTGAGTAGGTAAATAAGATAATTTGCCAATGGAATGAGTATTTTTACTCTAAATTAGATAATATGCACTTGAAATAAGACAACGCAGTTTTTTCTTATTTTAAATGTAAATTGTATTGTTCCATTGACAAAGTGCCTCACTTACCTCCTCAATTCAAGAAAAAATGCACTTATTTAAAAGAAAATAACTTTTTTTTGCAGTGCAGATGTTTATTTATTCATATAAGAAAAAAAATAGTGTTTCTTCATCCATACATTTTTATATTAATGACTCATTTAATTCGCTATCAGTTTTACTCAATTTAAATGAAATAAATCCATATTTTCTCCTTACTTGTGCCACTGGGCATGTGGGCAGGGTTCTACCTTTCATTTCAAACTATAGTAATATTATCAACTGATAAGAGTTTATCCTCCTGTCTCTCCTTGCATTTACTGCATTAATGCTTACTTTTAGTCAATAAAAGCGTATAATCTGAAATGTTTTATTGTTTGGCTTTTAGTTTTTTTTTAAATAATTTACTAAAAGCCTGTTTATTTTTAAAACATGCTTTAGTTCTGTTATTTCCACACTTAATTGACCATTTTTGAGATCCTCATACATAGTTGCAGCCATCTTCTTAAAATCAGATGGCTCACCTGTGTTAGTATTCCTACCCATTGAACCTTCCTCATTGTGCCACAATGAAACCATTATCATGACTTTATGTGCTAGAATACAGTAAAGCATCATTACCATGTGGAAGGAAATTATGCATGATACTGAAAAAAACAAAGTTATAACAGCTCACACTTGTATTCAGCTGAATCATGCACAGCTAGAAACCCGATTCGGAAGGATCTGTGGAGGTAACCAAAGATGAAGGTAATGGCAGGGAGGCCTCTGGTCCTCAAGCATTGGAGCTGATTAAAAGCACAATTGGTAAAACATCAAAACGATAAAGAAAGCAGCCTCTGATAGATTTAGTGCCAATGTTGTTATCACTTATCATTTATCAAAATCAAAAACTGAACAGCAATATTTTTATGTCAACCCCTTGGAAATGATTTGATTAGTTCTCCACCAGGAGATACCTTTATCATTTCCTATCAGGATCAAACGTTTTGGTCAATTTAAAAGAACTTTTAATCCATATCTGCCTGGCATCATTTCCTGCTATGTCTGAAATAAAAAGAAGGATTTTCTGAGCACAGTCTGTTGACCTTGATAACCAAGAACAACTGCTGGAGGCAAAGTTGGAGCAACATCTCCAGGATAAAGGAAGGAAAGCTGTGTGGGACCTCCAGAGATGGCTGCTTATCAGCTGGATCTAAAAGTTCAAAAATAATAAACTACTAAACACTTCCTTGTTTTTTACACTTCAGAATCCCATCGCAGGTTGAAGTGTGCTCAGTTTGTCTGCACCTGGGAACCCACAGCATCTCCAGTCGAGTAACCGTACTACTGCATTCTGGGATAAATAGAATATTGCAGGAGTTCAATAACCAGTGAATAGGCAGTGAAAAGCTGTTGCCTCTGAAGCCACACTGAAACATGTTGGTGGCAGTGTCATGGTATGGGGACGTTTCCTTTTTGAAGGACAAAGAAGGAAGTGGGAGTTTAGGGAAATACTGGAAGAAAACTTTTTTAGATTGGGACTGAGGTTCCAGCAGGAAGGATCTGGATTGAAGCAGGTGTGTATGCCAGTGTCTTCAATCAGGTCTGTGGCAAGACTGGAATTCTGCTGTCAGACATTTTTAATCCAGTTTGGCTCAGGTTGAAAAATTTTCAAAATACGAAGCAGAAGAAAAAGACATTTCATTCTCTAGATGTGCAAAGAAATTCCTCCATAAAACTAACTTTAATTGCATTCATCGCTGCTCCATCTTCCGCTGTTTCTGAGATGCTGACAGGAGGTTTGCCAGTTTGTCGTCATGACTTGAGTCTTTTCATCCCCATTAATGCATATCTAAGCAACCTCCTCCATATTTTAGGTCTCCTGCTTCTCCGTCCTTCATTTTTCTAATTGATAAAACATCGAGGAGTTGGCCAGCTTTTCCCTCCATAGCAGAAAGACGGAGGAGAACTTATCGCTCGTCTGTGTTATGCACTGGTTCAGTTTTAACGCCCTGGTGTTGCTCTCATCTGTCTGAATTAAGGATGATGCCGCCAGCAGGTTTCATCCACATGTTGATCACACATCATTCAGGCGTTAATGGATTTGGGTCATGAGTAACGGTGGGTGACGATGACATCATTCGGCTTCGAATCTAAATCAGCCGATTAGGTCAGGACTTGTTTTTGGAGACGGTACCGACTCAAAACAATCCAGCTCTAATCTTCTCCAATTAAGAGACAATGATGATGATGATGGCAGTGTTGCTCATTTGGAAGCTTGCAGTAGAAATAGTCACACTGATAGAAATTCTCTCTGTTTCAAATATTCTTCTGCTATTCAGGTGAAAGACCCTATAAGTGCACACACTGCAACAAGGCTTTCAACCAGAAGGTGGTGCTGCAGACTCACATGGTGAAACACACAGGAGAGAAACCTCACCTCTGCATGTTCTGTCCTGCATCTTTCTCCCAGAAGGGCAACCTGCACTCTCATGTTCAGAGGGTTCATTCAGAGGTAACTACAGGACTCAGTCACTGCACTGAGTTAGCTTCTGTTGTCATGCTAATTTCTTTTCAGGTGTTTTATTTCTTTGTTTCAGTCATTGTTTTTTCTGAAGTTCGAGCTGAGTGGTAAGTTGGTAAACTCAAGCACTCGATGAAAGGTCAGTTAATCTATGAACCCATTAGACTCTCTACCGCTGGTTGCTGGGCTTTATTTGGTGCAACAAAGGGATTAAAAATGCAGCCTGGTTGTTTATCAGACTATTTATAAAGATCTTCTTGTTCAGAAAGCAGCTGCCCTCAGCTGTGCAGCTTTTTACTTAGACTATAGTGAAACACGCTCTCTTTATTGTTCAGTTAAAAGGGGAAATTAAGGTAAAGTTCTGCTTCTTTTTTTTTTTTTTTCTTGATTGCTTTTTTGTATGTTAAGATGACCCAAAGATTTGCCTGAATTTTGGTCTCTGTCAGCCATTCCTGGAAAAGTGTAAAGGGATCAATAAAGATCCAGAGTATATCTTTGGTGCTCTGAAGAGAAAACCACCCAGTGTTTTTTTTTCTACATTTCCCTAGTCGGTGTCATTAGTGGTGGCTGATGCCTGCTTTACCATGTCCACAGTCTGAATAGTTTATTTCCTGTCAGCCTAAATGTGAAGCAACATAACCGTATTCATCAGAGAGGTTCAGAGGGTCCTCCATCAGCAGACAAAAAATAACACCTTCAGCTAAAATTTAACATCGAGCTTCCATCTAATTCAGTCGGCTGCAGGATATTTGCTTTTTATAAGAGCTTGCTTGTGGGTATTTTGCTTTAACAGTTTAGATTCTATTTTCTATTTTGATGAGTTGAAGAAAAGATATAAATTTGATGTGAGCATTTCAAAAAGTCCCAAAAACCTTTAAACCATTTTTGCAGCCTTCCTTTGTCTTTATTTTCAGTTGTTGCTTATAATGATTACATTTAGCTCCATGTCTGATTTAGAGTAATGTGTTACAAAGCATTAAAGACAGGACAGTTAAAAACAGAAGAAATGTTGTCTGACATCAGTATCTCAAAGATCTAACAAACTGGACCCTTTTCCAGGGTCAAGAACAACAACAACTACAGACAGTATAGTTTGCTATTTACCTTAAAGACGGCTCAATGTCCCACTTCTGCACATTCACTCTGTCTTTTCCATGTGTGCTTTTTGTGAAAGAAAGAATAAAATACAGAATCCGTATGCTCATCAGCGTGTTTCATATGCTAAATTGGTTTCTCCTCACCATTACTGTCATGGTTGTATGTTCCATAGTGACAGATAATAACAGACCAGGGTGGCGGAATTAGTTCAAGAGGCTAAAACAGTGGGAGCCTTTTAAATAACACATGTCATTTCCAAAAGTGTGCTTCAGCTCTCCTGCTTCGGAGAGAGTTTGTTCTTCATGATTTGCTTGCCGAGTGGATAAATTAGATTCAGGTGTTTTTTGCCTTTGAAGACTTGCAGAGATCCACATTGAGTGGCCTGGAGACTGACGTTGTTTCCTGTTTTCTTTTTGATCGAGTGCTAGAGTTGCTTCCAGGAATGTTAATGCAATAATATTTTTAAATGCAAAACAAGAGCTCTTCTCAAGGAGTGCAGTGGCTCCATCAATAAAGGAAGAACAAATTCACTATGCAGATTTACTCTTCACCTAAACCGTTTCAGTATAACACAGGCAGAGGATGTGTTATCTTTACCAGCATTTACAGGTGTGCTGTTTATAGAAAAAATAATCCCCACAGAATATGTAGACTATTATAAGGAATGACATATTTGCATAACACCGCCTAACTAATTTATGAGTGTAAATGGCACGCAGAACTAAACCGGACCGTGCCAGACACAACCGAACCACGCTAAACTGGTACTAGTTCATCAGTAGGGCTCGCCATGGTTCAGTTCTGGCTCGGTTCTCAGATAACAAAGAGCGCCTTTGCTCATCTCCTTACAGTCGGCCTCAGTAGTAACCCTACCATCCCACATGATTTCCAGTGATGTTTTTACGTAGCAGTGTGATGAGCCCCAACGTCCGTTGTTGTTTTCTGCATCTTTAAGCCCTGCATAGACTATCATTTGTCGTATGCACTTCCCAAAAGCCGACTTTGTCAAGTAAATTCACCAAAGGCTGCCTTCTTCGCCTGACTCTCAGCAAACAACGAAATATCACAATGATTACAAAACATAACTTCCTGAATCTTTCTGGAGCCGTCATTTTGGTTTGCTTGTTTACGTCTGGAGAGCAGTAGTACCGTAGATCGCCACTAGGAGGCGAGGAATCGTGCTACGTTAATATTTGGTTAAGCATAGCCTTCGTTGTAGTTAAACCTCAGTCACGTACTATGCTTATAAAATAACTCCAAAAACCAAATGTCTATGTTAGAATGAAGCAATATTCATCAAGCTAATCATCCTGATAAAGGTTTATTTAGACTTTTGGAGACTATAAAGATTTTTTCCATTGGGTTTAACATTAACATTCTTTTTCATACTTGCACACTATCGTACCTTGGCTAAAAAGGTTTAATGGTAAATATACAAAATGCTTAAGTTCACTAATAAATTAAGCAAAACCAAAGTGTGGAACACAGAAATTAAACAATAAAAGCCAACAGAGCAGCATGATTGGACAGCCGGTGTATTTAACCAGAGTGAGCTGCTTCATAAAGTCTCATAGTTGACTAGGCCCCTTCAAAGGAAGTTTGGTCCACTCTTCTTTGCAAAAAAAGTTTAATTTCATCCATAATGGGAAGTTTTCCACCAAAGAAAACATGTCCAATGAGAGCACATCATAAAAATGTCATCAAAAATGTTTTCCCTACACTCTTTTGAGTACTCTAGATAGAACAGGCCTCTGTATTCTTTGTTACTAGTATTTTTTTCCTTTAAAGACTCGAATGGATGCTGGTTTTCACAGTCTGTTTATTTATTTTTGTTTAATATTGACAATAGCTGAGGAAAATAACATCAGCTGCTCTTTCCATGCAGTTTTGAGGGTTTCTTTAGTGACCTCCTGGATGAGCGATTGATGCAGTCCTCCAGCCCAGCCACACTAGATCTCTTTTTGCAAACAATCCACCAAAAACTCAGGTTGTAATCTGCCTACAGGTGTTAGAACATGTTGAAGTGAACTGGGCTGCAAGGGTGGGTCTAAATTCTCAGGGAGTGTGCCTCCAACTGGGACCTATGCAGTAATTTAACAGGTTTGCCAGACAGGGAATGAGGCACTGTGATCAATTAAAACACATCGACTTTGGGGGAAATGCAAACCAAAATCTGTAAATCACAAAGTAAAGATTGCATTTTTTCCAATCGTGGAGATTAATCTTTGATCTGATTAGAGCTGGTTCGAGCAAGAAGTGTAGTTTTGATTATGATCAGAGCGGCTTATGTGTATTAATCTGGCTGTTATTGTGTGATCTTGGGATTACTCTTGGAGTAATACTCAAACTTGTTAGCCCGTTGATCAGTTCACAGATCTTTGATAGTCAGAACCTACATGTTTTCAAGGAAACTGAAAAGATGTGGTGGTGACGGTTTGATGCAATAACAAAAACAGTGCGGTTTGGGGGGTTAGGGGATCCTTGATTGACTCTCACCAGTTTTGATTGTTTCCCTTTATGTGAATTATGACTAAGCGTGTTCCACTACATCAGAAAGTATTGGAAATGAATTGCAAACTTTTCCAAACTGGTAGAAGTCAAGAATTGGGTGTCTTTAGGCCAGGGAATCTTGCTTTTTAGGACTATTTAGGCCAAGAAGTGCCCAAAGTTGATCATGGACAGACTCTGTCCAGCAGGGTTTAGATGTTTCACAGTTTATTTCCATTGATGGCTGTTTAATGCTGAACTGCAATCATTTGAATCAGGTGTGTTAAAGCACAGAAACATTGAAAACCTGCAGGACAAAGACACATGGAGGCTAAGGCATGCAGGGTTCATAATAAGGTTGCATATTATACTACAAAGCCACCATGTTGCAGTACTCTAAGCGGTGCTGATTGGTTGGCCTTGTAAGATATCAGCTAAATACACTGGTAATTCCAGCTATACCTCATAACTGTAAAACAATAAAGAAATTTGTATGATGGAGTATGAAGCTGAAAGGACGCTAGAGCATCTGAATCCTGTTGCTTATGCTTTGTTTATCCCTTTCTATCCAAGTAAAAGTTACGTAGAGCAGAAGACTTTTGAGTCTGACAAGCTAGTGGTCCGTCGGACACCGGGTTAAAGCCGAAAGCTTCCCCGAGTGCTTCTAATTTCACCGTCTATAAGCTGAACTCTGCTGACAGGCCGACATGCTCTGGAAGCGGGTCAGCTGTAACAATCAACTGAAATGACATGGTGCAAAAACACGCTAAGCAAGCAGAGTTACTAAGTCATCAACCCTGCACCCATCTCAAAATCCAACATCTATCTCTAAAATTTAGTTCTCCAATTTTATCTCTATTCGAGCCTCTTATTAAACAATTTTTTTTCTTTCTCATGCAGCAGCCATCAGGATGAACACCTCTCTGCAGCACAGGGTACCTTAGCCACAGGCTAGCACAGCGGGTCTGAACTTCTAGAGAAATGGTCTATTTATACCATGATTCCCTGTTTTCACACCAGGCAGTCAGGTTATCCTAAGGTCTGTGTTCTCCCTCAGCATCCTGCAGGATATATTGCTGAAATGTGTTAACCAGTCGCTCCAATGTTTCTGCTCGGAAGTCCTTCAGAGACCACATATCCACCTCCATCACGTCCAATCCTAAGCACAGCGATCTTAATGTGAAAACAACTTGCTGCACATACATGGTCCAGGTCAGCCTCCTGACAGCAT